AATGTTGTAAAACAGGAGAGAGGATTAAAACTCTAGCACTGTTTTTCTTGTGGGTTTTTTTTAATCCAGTTTAGATCCCAGTTAGTTGTTAAAATTGCTCAATAGACTACATGTTGAATAGAAAAATGACAAAATAGATGTTTTTTTGCCTAAGCTTCTTGATGTTATAGCCCTCAACTCCAGCTTGTCCTTTGGAGTGTCTGAAGTAGCTGTATTCATATTGTTTCAGTTTTTCTTCTCAACTTTTTCAGCAACAATTTTTTTTTATCTGCAGGTGCAACGCAACAGTGATTTAAATATTTTGGCACAGGGATATGCTTGGGTGCTCTGTGTTTTCAGCAGTGTAACTGTTTTCAGCATCACCACCATGATGGTGCTCTAATGCGTAGCCTTATAATATCACTTCCTTTTAACTCATCTGTACTCTGCTCTTCTTATGGAAATTAATAAAACTGAAACCAAAAGCAGATACTTTCATGTAACATCTTTACATTAACATCTTTTTTCTAGCAAATTGTATTTTTTATAATAAGCAACCTGGTTGAAACCAAACTGCTGTTATTGATGTAGCTATGGAGGTAAGACCCTTTTGTTTTTATATAACTGGAAAAATCAGTGGCAAATTACAAGACTTTTTCCAAGATGTTAAATGTAGTTGTAATAAGTAACAAAAACTGAATTTGGAAGGGCAGAGTGGCTACTGAACTAGGCTGTCTGGCAGCTAAAACTTGAGGTGATCTCCAAAATGTCCCAGGATAGCAGCGACAAGTTGGTGTTGTCATATGAGGGCTCCTAAGCCTCCATTCACATTTTCATCTAAAATTTTTAAATCTTGATGCTCTGCATTGAGTTCACTGAACAATCCATTGGCAATCAAAGTGAGAAGCACATGGATTGAACTAATCCTTGCCCCGCAAGTAACTCAACCAGGTGTGATAGGATGCTTTGAAGAGCAATTCTTTATGTACCTCTTCTGATAAAAGAAATTAATTTTTCAGATCTTAGTCCAAAATCTTCTAGTGCCAGAGCGGGAAACCCATCTCCATGTGGGTATGCCATGCTGCACTGCTACTCTATAACTTCGCACCATGCTTTTTCCCAGACTAATTTTTTTGCGTGCCCCCTCACTAGCTAGATCCCTTGGCATATTTATTTGCAAACCAGTTCCTGTCAGTTTATATCTCTGGGAAAAACTCTGATAGTGTTATAACCTACTGACTTGGAGTTGAGCTACTTTGTGGGATCTGCTGGTGTGACCTCCTTAAGGGCTTCTGCACACAGATGTGGGGGGATTGTCCGAGAGAAGCCAAGTGTAGGACTGCAGCCATGAGCTCCAGCACTCTGGCTTTGCAGCAGAGGAAATCTTACACATGCTAATCACAAATACAGTTTCTCAGAAAATCATTCCTTGAGGATGAGAACAGACCTTTTTGTGTTTTAGAAAGAACAAATAGATTCTGAAAGACTTTTGACCCTAATTAACAGTGGTACATAAAGCACTATCTTAGGTGGTAAGAGATCTTTAAAAAAACAAAATATGGAAAATAATCATTAGCTTTCTTTAAATTACATTAGCTGCTCTGCTTTCTACCTTGCCGTCTTTAGTGTTAGAAGCTAATAGTACTTTACTGGCCTGTGTTGTTGGTATGGAATCTGTGATTGTGAAATAAAGCTATGCATTCTTGTCTAATGATTTTTTATTTCTATTTTTAGCTGAAGTTACAGTTCTTGTACTCCTAGACTCCCTGCCAATTTTTTTTTTAATTGCCAGTGTTATAGATTTGCTGCGTTGCTTGTTTAATTCTGATAAAATAGCTGATAGTTGGCAAGGACCCTAGATGATAAAATTTACCATGAACTAAACAGGTTTTTTGTTTTTAAAAAGAGAATTTTCCAAGCCTTCTGCATTATACAACAAATTGCTCTTTTTTTCTGCTTAACTAATTTATTTTTTCTACTTGAAATGTAAGTGTTTGAACAAGTGAGAGAGTGCAGCTGTCAGAAGATTAACCAGCTGAAAACTATTGTCAGCATTAATTTTGCTCTAATAAATGACTCTCTGAAGCTATTTAGCAGTCTGTAATCTAGATACAAGGCTATTGACCTATGATGGATAGTACTGGATTTTGTTTGTAAGCTTTGACTTAAATTGTCTACTTAATTTGCTGCAGGTCAGATCACAGGATTAGTGGTAAAGGCCATTATGTGGTTTGAATAAAAATAGCTAGAGGATTGGAATGAAAATCTTTGTGTTTATTAATGTAGCAATCTTTGCGGTCATGTACATAGTAAACTGGTAGCCAACAAGATGACAATGACCTGTTTGTGTTAGCTCTAAATCCAGGCTTTACTCTTAGCCCAATTCCTATGAGTTGCCCAGGGAAGGAGTTGTTCAAGTGAGATTAAGGATTGGCCACAAATCCGGTGTCTCTCAACCTGAGCAGATATTTCAATACCTCAACGGTGTTGTTCTAGGTGCAGTGGTGGTATATATATAGACTGATTATTTTTAAAAGCTGTGGGTCTGACTGAGTTCTTCTGGATGCTCCAGTTCTGGACTCACCAGTACAAACAAGAAAGATACGGATTTACTGGAGTGAGTCCAGCTAAAGGCCACGATGATGAGGGGACTGGAGCATCTTTCATATGAGGAGAGACTGAGAGAGCTCAGACTGTTTAGCACAAAGAGAAGGCTCAGGGGGGATCTTAACAATGTGTGTGAAAACTTGTTGAGAGAGAGTGAAGAAGAGGGAGCCAGACTCTTCTTAGTAGTGCCCAGTGACAGGACAGGAGGCAATGGGCACAAATTAAAACACATGAAATTCCGTCTGAAGCACAGGAAAACACTTTTATTGTGAGAGTAGTCAGACACTGGAAGAGGTTGCCTAGAGAGGCTGTGGAGTCTCCGTCCTTGGGCATACTTAAAAGCTCATTGGACACGGTCCTGGGCAACCTGCTCCAGCTGACCCTGCGCAAGCAGGGGGGTTGAACTACATTATCTTGAGATGTCCCTTCCAACCCCAACATCCTGTGATTCTATAATTCTAGGTTGTAATATAGGTTGATCAACCACTTCATCAGTGGGAGCCTCTTTCCTCTGTTGCCTATTTTCACATAATTGGTAGGTATTTACTATTTTTGAGACCTTGATCTGTCAAAATTGTCTGAAATTCTTCAGAAGATGGTGCATGTTGGAAGGCAAGATGGAGGAAACAGATACTTGACAGATACAGAAAGGGGCATTTGTAGACATAGTCACACAGATGCAGTGCATCAATTGACATTTTTGGGGAAAGCAAACAAAAATTCTTCAAATCTTTCAGTGTGGGGAGGTGTAGTGTAGCTGTCCTTGATGTCAGAAAGGAAGTCCAGTATTGACCACTTCATTCTGTACCTGTGACACAGCACTTACATGGGCTTAAGGCTTTAACTTGAGAGAAGCTCTGATTAGCCTGGTATGGTTGCCCACTATATCAGAACTTTTTGTGCGCAACTTTGGTTGCCATGAGGGCTTAGTTATGGCCTCATTTTTTTCTCTTTCTATTGTTTTTTATTGCATAATTTCATTAATTAATGGGGAAGAAGGAAAGCAGAAATGACCTGTTTAAGTGGGATATACTTCAAACAGAGTAACTTTTTTGTTATTTGAGGTTAGATTGGGGGTTTTGTTTGGTTGTTTGGGGTTTTTTTTAAAAAAACTCTCTTCAACTGATAAGCTTTTTAAGAGTGCATTTTCATTTGTCGCTATACAACATTTATCTGACTGAAGGCAGTTCCAGTTACACTCTGGAAACTATCTCAATAAAAGCATTTATTAATGTTTATTACAGTAGCTAATCAGTGACAAAGAACTGTGAACCATAACTGGAGAGCAGCCTGACTTACTGTTGAAACAGAATGGTCCACCACATGGAGGAAGAGCAAACCGTTTCACTTGGACTTTCTGTTTATAAGAACACTGTACTTAGTTGAGCACATTTAATTTGAAAGTAGGTCATTATCTGCAGCTGTACATCCTAACAGTTGGGTGCTTTTATAGTGACTATGCATCTTGCTCGAGTGAAAGATAGTGAGGAAGCCAATGCGTTCATCAGTTTGGGCCAAATTTTCCTAGCAGTTCTACCCATTTAATGTTGGGGATGAGGAGCTTAAGGGTGTACGAGTACTTCGTATTAGAATTAGGCTTCTTTTAAGGCAGAGAGGTGATAAATATCACATGAAAAATTTGCTGGTTTTGTGCTTAGGAACTGTATAATCAAAGAACTATTGTGTGCGCTTACTGACCTGTGGTAAAGACAGGAGAGACTTATAGGAATAAAGCTGGGAATAGTGTGTTTGTGCGTGTATGTGTGTGTGAATCATTTTTACATAGTTTTTTACGTAGTTATTTATGTGTAAGAAACTAACTCAAAGTTTCTCAAATTAAGTAGAATTTTGCTTCAGATTTGAAACATAATAAACTGTGGAGATTCAGAAGGCTTGGTTTTATATACCTGTGTCTTTCAGATGTTCAATTACTTGAAAATCAGGAAGCATTGATAAAAATTAGCCTAGGTTTGGAAAAGCTGATAAAAGCAGAGTTACCTTTGAGCAATAGTTTGTCAATAGTCATATGCAAAGAGTAGTTTGACAAAACAGAAATTTTATTTAGTAATTCAGATACAGTGAATTTTGTGGGGTGCAAAGTTGCAGGAAGGGTTGATTGTTTCTTCATATGAAACTGTAAAGAGTGACATTGCCAGTTTTCTGCAAGTCCTGTGAATTGTTTATCCACCAGTATGCCTGAAAGATAAGGTGGCTTTATCTTCATCAAATGTTTGATAATGAAGATCTCTGACCCTGTAAGTACTGGGACTATAGGCTTACTTTTACACAGACTTTGAGAGGTTCATCATAAGTGAAGTATTAAGCACATGAATTTCACATCATCTGATAAGAAAAAGTTCTTAAGTGTTTTTTTTTTAAATAGCAATTTTAAACCCAATGTTGTCTTGATTCAGGTGTTGGAGCTGCTCGAGCTGGAAACCTTACTTTCATGGTTGGTGGAGTGGAACAAGAATTTGATGCTGCCAAAGAGTTGCTGACATGCATGGGTTCTAATGTGGTCTACTGTGGAGAGGTTGGAACCGGACAGGTAATGCTTCCTGAGGGGTTACTAGTTATCTCAGTCTTTTATTTTTGTTCCTTTGTTGTTCTTTAATGGTACCTGCTCTTTTATTCCAGAACTAAATGCATTATAAGATATCTTCATACTTATTTGCTTGTTTACCTGTCTTCAACCACATGTTTATAAAATAACCTCATGGCACTCTTCTCCAGAATGCGGTATAGCTTAGCACCAAAACATCTGACCTGGTGCTTCTCTACATTGGCTTGCTGAGATTATATTTCTTAGAGGACACAGATTTTGATTTTGTTTCTTCTAAATTTAGATTTACTGAATGTTCTGAAGGACAAAGAGCCCCTACATGCCATGTATACTAACTGAGCTACTGTACTAAGAAAAAAGGCATTTAGTAATCTCTGAAGGAACCATAGGGCAGCTTTCATTGACTTTATACTACTGTAGATCTGTGCTTACTGGTGCTACTTTTAGAAAAGAGCTATCACAACATACTTGATCATACTGTCCCAGACCTAATTAAAGAAGGTTCCTTGATGTTAGCTCTATGAAAATGCAGAAACTAATTGATGGTTTAACTTATTTTCAGGCTGCAAAGATCTGCAACAACATGCTCTTGGCCATCAGTATGATTGGAACTGCTGAGGCTATGAATCTTGGAATCAGGTTTGTTTGATATTTGTATTGGATTGAAGCATTTTTTCTGTGTTAATAGTTTTTGTGTTTTACAGTTGACTTTCGCTGAGACAGTGATGATTAAATGGCATAGATAAACTTTTGCCAGAAATTCTCTCATAAAGCCATTAACATGCTAAAGGGATTATTTAACTAAAGTAGGGCTCTTCAGAACAGGAATATTCTCTTTTATTGGCTGTATAGATTGTTGCATTCTGCATCTGAAGTTAAGAGTTTATTTGTTCTGCTGTACTGCAATGTACAATAATGCTTGTCTTGCATTATGAACATGCAGAGGTAATATGGAGATAACTGTTTGTATTCTAAGCTAATGTACAGTGTATTCAGAGTATTATATTCCTGTATGGCTCTTGTTAGCTTTGTTTATTATGTTAAATTGTTCCAAAGTATATTGTAAAGTAAAACTTCTAGTACAGTGCGTATATCAGATTAAGATCAAAGCATAAAAAAGAACATCTACCTTCCTGTTTGACTTTACCACTGCAGTTTTTCCTAATTGCCAAAACTCCTACTTTGTCAAAAAGCTGGAGTATGCTCCACTACACTCTTGTCAATGCTAAGAGTACCATTTCTTTTCTAGCAGGTGATGCATCTGACTTGTAAGTAGCAGCATATTCAAACAAAATTATTTTTCCTTTCCAATTGTAACCTATTTATTTTGCTGTGGTCTTTGAGATTTTGGGTTGCTTTCCAATAGAGTGCATACAAGTACCAGTTCAGTACCACAGTATTGGAACCTTCATAAATTTTCTTAGCCAGATTTAAATGATTTGCAAGTTTGCACACAGAGAAGTCCTGTGTTTGAAGAGATTATCTTGCAATTGTGTATCTTTTAAGGGCTCTTCATGAATTATTTATCTGCATAGTTGCATCCTTAAAATTGTCCTGCTAAAACTGCAGATATTGTAGATATCTATCAACTGGGCTTTAGACCATGTGCTCATGTGGATTTGATACACTATAAAAACAGCAAGAGGGCATCAAATGCTTAAATAAATAAAAAAAGAATGACTACATGTGCGCACATACACAAGGCAATGTAATGGATTCACATTTCCTCTTAATTACCATATCAAGATGCAGTTGTTTTATTGAATTGCCCTTGTCTCAGATGTTAGACTATCTTGACCTATTAAGTTGTCATGTTGTAATTGAGATAAAAGAGGAATTTGCTTTGCATCAGTGCTAATTGGTTTATCAATATCCTGTACCATTTACATTTTAAAATTGAGAGTCTGTAAGATACTGAAGCGTGTCTGCATCAAGCCATAATAAAAACAGTAGTACGGTATACAACTATTGTAATCCAGTGTAGTGTAAAGCTTTCATCAGGTTCTGTTTTAAGTCATGGTTCACTTAATAAAGCATATGCAACTGATTTTTCATTATATTTTTATCTACATTTGTAAGAATGATGAGAGTTAAAAATGAACATAAAATAAAGTCAGGAGGATTGGAAGACGGATATTCCGGGCATGTAAGCCTCATGCAGAATGAGTTGATGTCTGCAGCCAGAGTAGCTTGAAGGTGTTTAGAATTTTCATTTTTCATTTTATCCTTTTCCAGTTTAAATTTTGGCTGAATTTGTATTCAGTGTGAAGGTGGCAACAATATACAAACCTTCCTACCCTACAGTCACAGTAATCAAGAAGGAACTGTACTTATCACAGAAGAAACCTGCTGATTGTAACCTGAATTATACAAAGCGAAGAATCTCATTTAGTCCAAAACTGCATGAGGTTTAAGACAGAGGCTGTAATTTAAAGCCTTATGAACTAATTTAGAACCCTTGCATTGATTTTAATGTGCTGTGATTTAAATTCTGGAGAAGACAACTTCTGCTTATAACTAGAATAAGAGCTTTCCACTTTTGTGTATACAAATTTCTAATCTACAAGTTAAAATTTCTAATGTTCTAATTATTAGAAGTTTTGCTATATTAATAAATGTATTAGATTTTTTTTTTTTCAAGTCTAAGAGTCAAATGATAGTGTGGCTGCCTAGTCTAGAGAATGTAGGAAGCTGAACTTGATTTATTAGATTGATGTATATCTGATAAAGAAAGTCTGACTCTGACCTAATAATGGTAAAGGACACTGGAAATCTAAAAAATTCGTAATAGGAATTCTGGAGCTTAGACATGTTCTTAACTTTTAGATAGAATATGAAATATCTTCATGTCATACCTTGTGTATATATGCTATATCATTTAAATCTTGGGGTTTAGGGACTTTGGATAATTAATTATTCAAAATATTGCAGACTGAACTAGATGGAACTAGAAAGTCATATTACAGCGCCTTCCAGAAGCCAGTATATATTCTGAGTTTAAGAGATATTAATTCTAATAATAAACCACTTCTTCTCTTATGCTTACATAAGCCATGCAGCCTAAATTTTCATTTTCTGAAGAAATGACATCTGCTATTGTTTTATTTATTTTATATTTGAAATTATGGCATTTTTCCAAACTTCAACATAAGTAGCAAATAGAATTGGTGAGGAGGAAAAAACCTGACATTAATCAGCAAAAATTCCACAATAAACTCCCAGAAAAATAGGCAATATTGTTATGTAATTTCTGCATTTACATTCCACTCGCTTTCCTACTTTATCATCATCTTCATTTACTAATCATCTTCATTTACTAATGAAGATGTCCGTTTTCAGTGGAAGTGATTTGGTTTAGATTCCATAACTAATTTAAAAAAAAAAAAAATCCTGAGTTCTGACCACTGAAATGCTTGTTTTGTTTTGTTTTGTCCATTAATTTCCTGATGCTTTATGAATGTTGCTGCTAAAAATTAGAAGGTGTGGCAGACATTCTGGAAATTAATTCACATTTTCATTTGTATATTCTTTTTTTCTAGCAAGATAATGCAACTTGTCTGTAGAACATTCAAGAATAGATTCTGCTATACAATTTTATGGATAATGTCCATATTTCAAAATAGTGTAGTGACTTACCGTGTCAAACCAATACATAAAGTACATGTAAACTTCACAAATAAGAAATAAAAACATTAAGTGATACTGTCCACAGCCATAGACTATTTCTCATTTTCTTTTTGCTGATCACCTCAATGTCGTTAACTTTTTTTTACTGAGCCCTGGGTTCCAGTGAAACGATGTCTAATACTAGCAAAATAAAGCTCAGAAATGAAATATTGCTGATACCTGGTTTGTGTTTAGGTCAGATGGAAGTTGCTGCCTGTCAGGTGGTTTGCAGTCCCTTCAGAAACTGCCTGTACGGACTCGGGGAAGGCCTTACGTGGTGACACAAGATAGGACAAGGTTGCTTAATGTGCTTGGGATATAAGGGACCAGGAGAGCAGTAAGGGCTCTATGGCAATAACCTCATTGCAAGATCACTTTTGTACTTCTAACAGCAGAGAAAGTCATCTCTACAAGGAGGGACTGTGGTGGCACACAGATTTACGTCACAAGCTGCAAATACAACTCTTTCCTAAGCAATTTTACTGCATATGGATTTGCGCCTGCTTGTTTTTTTAGATATATAAAGTGGAAAGACAATAAAAGAACTTTGCCCTCGGATGCAGAGTCTAAACCTAGTTTCAGCCTCTAGATGTGGTTTCTGTGAGCACTCCTGGGCTGTAGATGATCAGCTGAAAAGGGAGTCAACAGCGTAGAGAGGAGCGTGTACTGCAGGCTGAGGGATGATTAGCCCTGGGGCACACCACTACTGCAAATTTTAGAAAGAGTACCTTGAAAAAGAATTCCTCGAAGAGCACTGTGGCTCTGCTGTCTTCAGCATGGGGCTATAGCTAAGTCTTGTGGAGGCTAGTAATGACACTTAAAAGCACTTACCTTGTTTAAAATGCCAATGGCAAAGTCATTTTTATCTATGTTAGAAGGGTCCTAGGGTTTTTCTGTCTGTTCCAGACTGAACTCTTGGAGGAGTATATGAAAATTTCAGTACATTGTTTGCTCAAAGCTCAGCAAAACTTGAGTTTTGAGCAGTGGCTTGAAGGGATCCTACTTTAACCAAATTTTTTTTTCATGTGAGTCCATTGCTGAGTTTCTGCTGTTCAGTTCATTAGGAATGTTGTTGAAGAAGCATTGATTTGAGGGAAGCAATTGTTTTTGCTCTATTATAAGTACAGTTAATACATGAACTTCTTTTCTGCTTATAAGGGAGAAGAACATTTTGGTAATTGTAAATTCACACGCGCCTGCAGGAGCTCTTGCCACGTCCAATGGCAAGTTGTTATGGGGACTGGCAGACTGTCATCATTTTGATAGCTTGAGCAGTATATCTCTTGAACAGCAATAGAGCTCTTATGCAGAGAGTATCATATGTTCCCAGCCAATTTACAGGGAAACAGCAATAACATTTTATCATGGTTGAGAGCCCAGTAGCTGCTTCCTATTAAACTTGCCCTTTCAGATACCTGTCTTGGATTAATTTGTTGATTTCAAATGGAAACTCAGTCTTCTCCACTGAAGCATGACTTTCTAGGATAGACTCTCACTGAATGACAATTACTGTATATTCTAGCTGGTTTCAGACCATTACAAGCTTTGGGCACAGTGGAAGACAGAGGACTTCTTCAGTAACTGATTTTAATATATGTCTAATTTTAACTGTCAGTTATATATGCACCAGTGGATGAATCCTCAGAAAGATGAAATGCAAAGCACTTCTAACTTGCTCTTATTAATGATACACTTGCTGCAAAGGAGAAAAAAAAATAGGTTCAGGTCTCCTGAAGAGAATCTGCATGGTGTTTAAGAGCAACGAAGTTTGAAGATGCAGGGATTTAAACTGACATTATCTTCCTTTTTCTTTTCCTGGAACAAAAATATGCCAGATGTACTGCAGACAATATTTTACGTATCTGTATAATACACATATATCTTTTAAAGTATACTTTCACAGGGCAGTAGTTGCAACACTGTGAGAAGAGCGTTTTTCAAGAGGGTTATATGCATTTTGAAATAATAAGCTCTCTGTCTTGCGGTATACTCACAGCTATAATTATGGGCCCCTGCAGGCAGCTAGATATGGCACAAGCAAGCACTACATTGCTAAAAATACTGATCTGGATGTAACAATGATAAGGAAACAAACAAGCCAAGAGATTTGTTTTGGCCAAAAAAGCAACTTCTGTGTATTTGAAAGCTCAGACGGTGTCTGCTCCCAGCGCCGGTTTTTTTGGATGACAGCGATTAAAGTAGTTATTCAGCGTTGTTCTTGAGGAAGACTTTGATGCGCTATACAAAATAAAAGTACAATTAATATACTGCAAAAACATATTGGTGCTGGAAAATACTTTTTTTTCTTTTAGATAAATGGCTGTTGAAAGCATTCAGTTGAGTCAGAGAGTTGGAAAAAAATAGGGAGGAGAATAAAGCCTGATTCCATTCAGGCCAGCAGGAGACTTTCCATTGAATTCCAGGGGCTGCTGCAGCAAGCCATAAATAAGTCTGCACAGCAGTAATGCTAAAAAAGCTACCTTTGCAGTACAGAAAGTGATCTTGGTTTGCATTAGGAGGGCAGAATTGCAGGCACTCATACCGTTATGGTAACAGGAACCATGCTGTAGGGCCCACTGTCTTAAATGTAGTTTTTCAAATCCAACATGCCTATTGGAATAAATAGACATAAATTTTAGCAACTATTCCATTGGTAATAAGCTTTATTTGTCTACAAATTAAAGCCCTGAGCGCTACAGTGTCTAGAATCGGTGTTAGGATCCCCATGGCTATGGAGATCTGCAAAAAGTCTGCAGTGTAAGAACTAATGTAAAGAGTGTTGACTTCTATAAGGGCTCAGCTGGAATTATATGGAAAAAGCATTTTATTTATAACTGCTTTGCTTGTCCATGGCAACATAGGTTGTGATATATCCCTTTCTATTGTAACTGGAGATAATCCCCTTGCTTTTTTCTTTGTCATGAGTGTAACTGAACGTTTGTATAGGGCCGGATAAACAGCTGCTGTTCGTTGTTGGTATAAATGCAGTTGGTGTAAAATTACACTTGCAACTTGATATCAGCATAAATGTGAATCTGTAAGAGGGTTAATTTTCTATAGTATTGAAGTACTTTCAGGGTCCACATTGAGCAGCAGTTTATGCCATCAGCTCTGTGATAGAACAAATGACGTTTCTACTTGGACAAGCTTTGTTTTATCAGGACCAGTAACCTTATCAACAGCTGACCCAGAACTATAATGTATGTTTGCAAATAGACAACGCATGTCACAGTGAGAGGCAGGTTGGCCTCATAAGCAAGAGTGTATAATGAAGATTTACCAATAGCAAAGCAAAGAATGTGCAGTTATATACCACAGTAATATTTTTTGAGAAGTGTAGTGGTTTTGTTCACTTATTAGAGCAGGATCATTTGAATTAACTTGCTTACATCAACAATGCACTAGTGTGCACATATAAATACATTGCACAAGTACTTTCACACTGCCACACTTGCTGGTGTTTTGCTTTGTTCAGCTTTAGGGAATATGATTTTGATACAAAGAACAATTATGTGTCCTAGTAGGTAGCAGAACAGAGAATGTGGTTTAGTAATTGAAATAGGAGGGAACTGCTGTTCTCAGAGGACCTTTATTTTGCTTGCACTTTCAGAATTGCTAGGTGAAGGGGATTTGCTTAGTGCAAAAGGAAAAAAGCTCTGAAAACCTACTGCTTAAATGGTGGATTGATGCTCTTTAATTTAAAATACAGCATCCCTACCCCCAATATCAATATTCTGTCATTTTTCATTACTTATAATAAAGGGAGAGAAATGATGGTAGAGTCCTAAGATATAAAACAAGTCACCCATGTCTTGTGCATTTTGACATTAACACTTCTCTTCGTTGACCTTTGACAGATTAGGCCTTGACCCAAAGCTGCTGGCCAAAATCCTAAATATGAGCTCAGGTCGCTGTTGGTCAAGCGACACATACAACCCTGTTCCTGGAGTGATGGAAGGAGTACCATCTGCTAATAATTATCAAGGTGGCTTTGGAACAACACTCATGGCTAAGGTACATAATACTTGCATGTAAAGTATGTACAGTTGCTCCTCTCTCGGCTTCTAGCAAATGTTCTTCTCAGTGAAAATTCATGATTACAGGGAAATATGTGTATATGAACAGAGGGAAACTCAACCTTTTACTGTAGCTCTGAATTAATGAGTTGTATAGGACGCTTTTCCTTAGCCTCCATCCTCTTTCTAGTTACTATTACTGCTGAGCCACTCAATGAAATTATATGCACTGTCTTTTTGAGTTCTGTCTTAATCCAGGAGTGCTGAGGGACTTGTATGTATGACAAGCATTCAGCAAGCCACTTAGGTGCCTCTTGCATGACTGCTTTAGAACTTAGTAGTCTAAGCTCAAGAGAGCCATTTGGGGAAATCCAGGTAACCTAATTAGGTGTGAATAGTGGCATAAGCATCTTAGATTTTGGGCCCAATCTCTTCCAGATACCTTAAACTACTGTGCTACTGGACATGCCCTCCAGCATCCCCTTCCTTGCTAAGTCAACTGGTTATGTACTTGTTTTTCTCCCTAAGGCCATTTGGAATGCAAGAAGCAGACAGGTTTCAACCTACACCCCCACAGACTGATTTTTCTGCAGGTATCTGCACCATGCTGTGGGCTCTCCCAAATTGTCTTTGTTGGTGGCAGAAGTAGTGCTTCTTATGAGTAATAACCTAGTAATCTAATTTTTTGTCCACGAAGTGGAAGATATGGGTTTTAGGTCCTTCTCAGCACAAGGCAATTGTAACCTACAGCTGTCCCATCCCAGGAGAGTGCACTTACTGCTATGCTCTTGGCTGTTCTAGGAAAAGCACTGTCCTGAGTCACTCTGTGGTCAGGAAAACAAAGCTCTTAGAGGCCAGAGGAAAGTAGGCAAGGAGGTCAGGGCTCTGCATCCCACTGATGAGGACACACAGTTGGAGGAAGGAGCTATAGAACTCTTGACTCTTGAACTACTTCTGCATTTAGCACAATGATTGCCTAAGGTGAATTATAAAACCAGCCCTGTGAGAGATCTATCATCTAAGCATGTAAGTGCAGGAAATAATTTCACACTGAATATTAGTTTCATGGGGATACTGTCCTGAGGGAGGCATTTGAGTTCCTACAGGACAGGTTTGGGGCTCCCAATCAGTTAGGCATTCTGGCCATTTTCAGCTCTTCCGTGCACAGTGGAAATTAAGCACTTAAAACTAAAACGACATTCTCAGAGCTGGTGATCAAACTCAGATATTGCCATGCAACTCTCCACAGTGCTGGAGTTCCTGTATGTAATACCTGCCTACTGATATTGTTCCTGTCATTTTGCAGTTGATTTATATCAATTGGTGCATTTGCAGAGTCAGTTTAATTAGCCAAATTCTGTCCAAAGTGGGTCCAGAGTGTTTTGCATGTAGTAGCACCAAAAAATTTTGCTAATGCTGCATGGCTCAAAACCCCTCAGTGGTTGGCCTGCTACATTTTACATTTACAGACCAACAACGAGGAGCTTTCATTTCTTTGAGGGATGCATTAAAATGCTAGAAAGCAGCAGGGTTTACGTCATGTTCACATCATTGAACATAGGGGACAATTAAGTGTTATTTAAATTATTGATTTATAAAATGTGGTAAGTTATTGTTTGGAGTTTGCCAGGACTATTGATTAGAGATAAGCAACTTGATCTTGGCACTGCATCAAAGCTTTTGTTTCCATCTTATGTGCTGTTTTCAGAATCTGCTCTGCCTGTTGCGCCCTGTTTCACACTGCAATCTCTGTTCCCATGATTCATAACTCTTACTCTTGTCCAGAATAACCTCATATTATAAATGGGATGGGGGCACATATTACCTTCCCTCCCTTTTCTATTTCTTTGTAAAGGGTTTTTTCTTTTGGTCTACTTCCAAGAGGGACCTTCATCTCCCCTGGAAGCTGCCTTAAAAGATCTTCCTTTCATTGGAGGAATAGCAGCCTGGCTTTTGCCTGTTAAAACTGCCAGATTTTGGTTCTAAAGCTTTGGTGATAACTAAGAGGAGAGTTCCTCAGAGAGGTTTGTAATTGGTGTTCACCTCTTCTGACTATGCCTCTCCTGCCAGCCCTGCCAGCCAGGCAACCTGAACACTGCCTTCTTTAGGCTGGAATGCTCAATAAGAGGGCAAGACACTAAATTCCTCTCGTGCCTCTTGAACAATGCTATGTTATTCTATATAGATGGAAGATTACTTGTATGAGTAACTAACCAAGACAGGCTGATCATATTCAAGGTATTATTTGGTGCAGTGGTGACCTCTTCCAAGACATTTCTCCTTAGTTTGTGGAAAGACTTTTGCTACTATCCCTTTCATCCTGCATATCATACAGTTTGTGAATTGAGTTGGGGACTTTTTTTCTGGGAAATAGCATGCTTTTGCCACTTAAGAGAAAAGAAAAACTATATTCAAAGGAGAAGGAGGTAGGTACAACCCTGAGGTTGAGAAGAGAATACTCCACAATGAAAACATCTAAGAGTGACTCAGTAACCCAGTCACTAAACACAGTTACTAAACTTCAGGTTACGACTGACGTATCAGGTGTGGGAGAAGTCAAAGGCTTTCTTAAAAGTATTTTAAGTGGATTTCTCAAACAAAGCCAGAGGATCCTTATTTTAAGTGTTGGGGACAGAAAGCTTTGTCAGACATCTCTGAAAAGCTCTTCAGTCTTGAAATCTGATAATGAAACCTAGAATTTAGTCAATTTAATCTGAAACCTGCTCTAAAGATTTTGCATTTTAAAAATCTAGTTTACTTCCCCTCACAATCTTTGTGTCTGAGGCATTGCAGGCCAAAGTTCAGTCTTTCATTCACAGCACAGTTGCTAATTAAATGTCATCTTTGAATCCTGAGAAGAGCTAGATTTATGTCATACTATTCTTGACTCATGTCAAGACACCTTTGAGTTTTATTCTGAATGGAAGAGTTTCATTTACGTCAACTGCAAAATGACTGTGAGGAACCAGGTATTTCCAAAGTAAGCATTTTTTTGCTTTTTTTAAAATACATTGGCAACTGTATCCTGAAAGAGAATGTTTCCCTATTCCAAGCTGAGAAAAAGTGGTTAGAATAGTTGGTACAGTGAGACATCTGGAAGATGTTGTCAGTTCTGAAGAGTATGAGAGGAGCCATAAACTATGCTCTGATTTTTACTTTTCTAAAAAGGTCAGCAAAGGGCAAATTTCTTTCAAAGCTGTTTTGTACTATTTCACTCGAGGAATCTCCAACCTCAAGAGAAAAATGCAAAATACTTCGTAAAGATAAGCTTTACTTCCATTTTGTATTTTTTTTCCCTTCAAAGCTCTAATTTATCTAATGGAATTTAAAAAAACAAAACAACATTCCTGCACTTTGGAGTCAGGAGTGCTTGTCCATTTAATTATTGAGAAGTTGTGTGATGGTCAACCATCTTGGAGCCCAAGTTTCATTATTAAAGTGAACAGACCTGCTTTATGAAATTGTATTTCTGCTAGCAGTCTGTTCGGCATTTTCAGGGATTGCTTCTATGAATGCCCCTTCAGAGAGAAATAGATCGTGATCACCACTACCAAAACCAAACCCCTTCACTAGTTTGGAGTTAGATGGTTTTGCCATTCTACTATTCCATGACATGATTTAAGCTTTGTTGAATAAAATGGATAATTTCACAAAGAGGGTTTAAAGAGGGTAGGAATATGTCATGGAATATCTTCTTGTAAATCAGGTTAAATAACTCTTCCTAGATCTGTCAGGTCATCAGTCTTCAAGAGAATTGCTAGACAACAAGGAATCATCTGCCCTGATGCAGATGAAGAATATTTTGGATCCTGTGACATCTGATATGTGTGTTTTTCCCATTTTCGTAGATCTTGAAGTCATTCAAGGGTAATAGGAAGAGTAACTATAATTCTGATTTGTATTAGAATGACCTTTATAGAGCCGATTTACAGATCGAAGTGACATTTAGAGAGTAGAGTAAGATCTTGAATTTCCTTGTGCTAATTCAAATCCAGACACACAGAAAGTAAAGACCTGTCTTGTAAGTCATCCCTGAGAAGCCAAAGGTGCTCTCAGCAGTACTACAGTCTCTCAGTTCTTCTATATCAAAGATTTGTTATTTTTAAAAAAAATAAACCACAGCAAATTCTATAAACCACTATAGTCCTGGATGGACAGAAAATCCAGGCCCTTCCTAGTAACATTTGAGAGGTTCTTTTGCAAATTTCATGAAATGTGGATGGCAAAATTGATTTCTCTGGCAAGACCTTATAAAGGCAACCTTGAATGCAGGCATTACTTTCATACTCAGTCAAGAGATCTGTTTATATATCCAGGCCCTTGTTAGCTTTTCCTGCTTTGGTTTCATGTCTCGTTCAGCTTAGAATTCAAGACATCTTCCAGCCTAGCTTGTCATTTCTGTCCAGCATGCATGCAGCCAACTATTTCTAGCTAGCTATGGTCCTAGTTAGTCATAGTACCTGGTACTCACCTTTGAGTTCTGTCCTATTTATTTCAGATTGTAACTGTAGTTGACCAAGGACTCTTGGAGGACAGGTTTCAAATTCATCCTCTTTGCGACCTCCTCTCCTTTTTTTACCCCAAATTTAGTGTTTTAAAATGTAGTAGAATTATTCTCTGTACCCTTTTATCTTCAGTCATTAAAGAAAACTTTGAGTTGTAGCAGACCCAGGACAGTCCTCTAAGGAATTCTTTAATACATTCTTCCAGTTAGGCTGCAAACCATTCATATTCACAAAGTGGCCTACGCCTCTCATTTTGCTATTAACTGGTCACATTACAGTAAATGTATGTAGGCTAAGTGGCTTCAATTTTGTTGTTATTCAAATCCCTCCTGCTTGATTTTTAACCTGTTTTCAGAAAGAAAGATGTCCTCTTGCCCGAACAAGAAAATTATGCCATTAGAACCTATGTGAAATGCTTAAGTGAATAGCCAGGGGAATTTTATTTTTTGAGATGACATAACAAAGGGGGGAAGAAGAGTCTGAGTCTTGCTACCAGGTTATATAGTGATCTAGAAACTTAAAATTCCTCCTGTCTGGAAGGAGGTTGCATGCCTTGCAAAGTTTGGGGGTTTTCTGTTGAATAACAGTTACTGTTTTAAAAATTTAAAACTAAACAAGGCTCCCTTCTTCCAGGACTGAAATTTTAAGGCTGGAGTATTATATTTGTTGGCAGTAGAGCTCTCTTCACAATGGAAGCCAAATAACCTACCATATGTACATGGCTATTTATATCCTCGTTGTTTCTCCCCTGACTTTTTCTCTTTTTCTTTCCTTCCATTCTTCCTCTTTGCCCTCTTCCTCCCTCTTCTCCTTCCCCACAGGATCTTGGCTTGGCCCAGATTTCTGCCACCAACACAAAGACACCAGTTCCTTTGGGATCCCAGGCACATCAGATCTACAGGATGATGTGTGCAAAAGGCTATGCCCTGAAAGACTTCTCAGCTGTGTTCCAGTTTTTACGTGAGGAGGAAACCTTGTGAGCTGTCCTTTGGAAATGGACACAATAACCAACCACATTTTTTTATCCTTATAGCTCGTTTGAGAAGTGTGTGGGTTTAATCAAACGCTGCGCATACTGATCTCATACAGACTAATCATCTATGGTTGTCTAGATCACAACGAACTCCAGGGTTTTTTCATAATTCTTGAAAAAGCAAGCCAGAGGAAGGGATTGTTTGGCAATTAGCCAGACAGTGATTTTTTTTTTTTTTTTAAGAACCATCAAAGTTTGGGTTTTTTTTCTCTAGATGCAATAAATAAGTATTTTTTTTATGAAACACTTAACTGTTTGCATATAAAATAACTTACATTATGGCTACAAACTTAGATGAATCTTGACTAGAAAGAGAATGTTATATAGTGATTTTATGATATATATAGTGATCTATTAAAAGTAAAATTGAATACTTTATGGATAAAGGGAAGATTTGTTCAATTAAGAAACACAGCTTGAGATGGATTTATTTTTTTTCCTTGGACCTACTAGCCTTGAGTTGATCAGTAGTGAATTTTTCCTGGGATTCAGGTTGGAGATTAAGTTTATGGGCACGCATTTTTAACTGGAGAGTTGTTACAGCATGTTTACCTGATAGACTTAGTTAAAATAACATAGAATGCGTGTCCCTCTTGTAAAGCTCCATTATTGTATTTTGCTAACCCAATTTTATATTTTCTTGTATTCTGTCATACATTTTCAGAACTCAAGTACAGCACTTACCAGAAGTTCTAACAAAGTGTACATTTGTTTTAGGTAATTACTGAAGTATTTTAAATCTAAACAAACCCTATTATTTTGAAAAGAAATAAAAATCTATACTGGTAAATACTTGCTTATGATTGTTTGCTTTTTGTTTCGATGCACTCTTGTACACACACAGCCCAAAACTTGTAGTAAGTGGTCTTATTTTTTAATTCGCTTGGTTTTCTACAGATTATCTTGCAAAACTAAGCTTTTCAAGAGCTCTTGTTGTGAAATGCAGATGGTAATATATTTGCATATGTATTATCTTAACCATTCACCATCTCCTTGGTCTTGCAAAAGTACGGGTACATACAGGCTTTATGAATATATACACTCATGTTGATTTCACTAGAACTACTCACATTCAGACTTACTGGCAGGCTATAGGCTTAATGGTCAATTACGCATTTACATTCCTGTTTTGGTTGTACAACGGATCCTTTTATGTATGCACATTTGGGTAGCAGAATTGTGTGCTTGAATTAGCTAAAGTCTGTGAATAATCTGAGAACTTGGGCATTATATTTTAACACATTAGTAACATCATACAAAGTCACGAAACAGTACTTGTTGGTCTGTTCTTCTTTCAATTTTCTTTGAAAACTGTTTGACATTCTAGGTTATTCAGGGATTTGGGGCTCATTAATGTTACATATGAGTGTAGGACTACTGGGAGCAATCTTACTTTTAAAAAATTGTTCATCTCTCTTTTGATAAAACTACCATTTCTACAGGATTGCATTCGTTCCTTGAAATTAGACACAAAACTACCTGTTCTAAAAACTATTAAAATTGCAAAGTCAACCACTCAAGTGCTGGAAACACGGAACCAAAGCTGCAGATGTATGGTTCGACCTCTGATAACAATATCACATACCAGAACATTTTTTCCTATGGGACTCCTGCCTCACATAATACAAAGGATCTAGTCTCAGATGGATCTAGTCTCATAATTAATCTGAGGTCACGTAGTGAAGGACCTGCCAAGAGGATCCTTGTTCATTTCAAAGCTTTATAATGGATGAGGTAAGGCATTGTAGGAGAGCCCTGGTTAAGTTTGTGTCCTCTGTATTTGACTTGGAGATCTGGCTGGCATCAGCAGGACTGCTGAGAGATGCTTCCTTCTACTGTCCACCCCAGCCCATAGCAACGTTTGCTATGAATGTGTTTACCAGTAACCCTGGGCTTGCAGGAAGCATAATCAGATGTTTTCCGAAGATGTTGTATGCACACATAAATGTTGGGAGCCATGAGGGAGGATAATATGCTCAGTGAGATACACTCTTTGAAGCTTTTAGCTTCTGAAATCATAAAGTCCCTGTTAAGCATGTGGAAACTTTGTTGTTATTTTTATGTTTCTCCCAAAGGCTTGTAGCTTAGGCTTCCTGGGGTTCATTTCTCCTCCCCCACAACTGCTGATCAAATTTTAAATTCCTACTCCAAAGCATAGGGTGCTCGAGTTGGAGTAAAGGCTGCCAGAATGCTATTTTGGCAAACCAGCAAAATGTTCTGTGGTCTCCTTCTTGGAGGAGGATGTTGGCTGAAATTAAAAACAAAACGAAAAAAAACCAAAAAACCCCAGCTTCAGGGCAGATGGCCAGCATGTAAAATTTTAGAACAAGCAGTTAGTTTGGCAAAGTTAGAAACAAGTTTTTAAATAAGTCTTATCATGGAAAGTGCCTTGAAACCTTTAATGATGTCCAATACACATTTTTTTCCTAATTCTGCAGGGGAATATTGTGTGACTGGATACATATAATGGTCATGATATTCATGCTAGCTATGGCTATTCTGCATGTGCATATGTATATAATGTACCTTTTGCTTTGCATGGGATATACTTCTGATCTATGGAAATTAAGCAAGTACTAAAACTATTGTCACTGCCAGAAACAGGTGTTGAAAACTGTAATTTGTTGAGTTGAACAGAAAGATTGTAAAATTGGTTTAATTTCTACACTAATTACCTCCCAGTACATACACACAAATTAGGTGCAACAAATTAACTGCATATTTTGTAAATGTCCCAAAGGGAAACTTGAGGTAACTTCTTTTTAAATTAGTTTGAATGTTCAACTAGCCCTCCCATCATGCTTACTTTGGAAACTCACCTATATCAAATGCATTTATTGACTAACAGGAAAACATTGACAACCAATAAAAGTAGTGATGGTTTTAAAAAAAAAATCCTAAGCAGCCTTCTCTCATTTATGATACAGTATAACCCATCTTAAGCAACTATTTTTGGTGGTCGTTTAACAGAGGAGGCCTTCTATTAAAGCTGCTGAGTACTATATTGCTTTAACTTTATTTATGGCTCTTACAAGCCTCGGGAGGAAGAGGAGGTATTCTGACCAAGTAAAAGTATTATACGTGATATTCTGGCTCTGCTTTAATCAATGGGAATGTTGCCATTAAGTACAATACCGCCAAGATTTCACAGTGTGTTGAATGCCCACATGATTCAAGTGCAGATGTGGCCAAGATGCAGCTCTGGAGGAGTTCGAGCACATCCCTCAGGCAGGGATTGTGCCACATTACTGGCATCAGGATTAGGAGAAGTCGGAGTGGTGGCTGGGAGAGGATGGAGCCAGCAGGAGCTGCTGAAGTTGATATTGCCAGTTTCCATCGCAGCCTTGTCCCGCAGTGGGTGAGAGAGATGCTGAGGGGGACAGAATAGCTGCTGTCCCTGCCTGTCTGAGAACAGAGGTACCCGTCTGTTCAGCTGTTTAAATCTTAACAGCTCTTTGCCACAAGATTTATTAAATGGTTTATGGAACAGAAAGACTAGGGCTACCCCTGGAGCAAGAAGAAAAGGGCTACCGTCGTACAAGGGCTACTGTATGTGTGCAATAGATGTCTTCCTGTGCTTTTAGTCCACCAGCAATACCCAGGCACAACTCTGAGGGTACTAACTTCAGTGGTAGTGATACCTGTTGCTTTTGATTTGTCTTTACATCATCATCATTGTCTTCTCCTTCATATAAAAATAGATGTAATTCAGCTGTTCTCAAGAGAAGTTGAGAATATTGCCTGTCTTCACAAGATTTTCTAATAAGTGGTGGAAACTTTGATGCAGAAACCTCTGTTGTGTTTTCTTGGTGCACAACATGTAGAGCTAGGGTCCTCAGCAGTATTTAGACTTAAGGTTTGATAAGAACCCCCTTAAAGTTGGGGAACTTTAAAATGGAAAGCCTTTTTACTGACTTCAGTATCAAGTTCTTAGAACTCTTACTGCAAGCCTTGCAAAATTGCAAAATATTTCAGTAGTGGGAGAAGTTTAGTTCAACGTCTACAAATTAGAATAAACGGTACTTTTGAGAAGCTCGAGCTTTCAATAGGAAGGATGTCTTTGCCATTCTGTGCAACAGCATAATGGATGTACGGTCTTTAAAGGCTGCTGGTATTTTTAAGATTTGTTGCTTTCTACATATGATTTGTCACAACGCATCCTGCCAGCTGGCACAGTTACACATTAATTTTTTTTTCCAATCAGAATAATAGCAACAGTTACAAAGTTTTCTTAGGTGGACAGAGAATGAATATTTTTATGGTTGGCATGTTCAATAGATGTGTGACATGGAACTAGGCATCCATATGGCAGTGATTTTTTTTTTTTTTTTTTGTTTTGGCATTCATTGTGGATTGTGAGCACTTGGGGTAAATTGAAACAGGTGGATAAACCTTTCTAAAGTACTAAATGTCTCATAATAACTACTGTATAATTAAAAGCCGTCTGGCTCTTTCTGCATTTACACCCATCTCTTCCTTTTGACCTTGACCCTGAAATGAGGTCTGGATTTTCATGTGAGGTCAGAGATAACTTAGTCTGTTTCTTCATTTAGTTTTACTGAGCTTCCGTTAGTGATGACGGTGTTCTGTTTGTTAAAGTAAATGCTATATATGGAGATAATAAATGTGCTAACATATGTTTTATGAAGTTCACTGATTTCAAAAAGGCTTGGAGCGCTGGACAAAAACAAATGAAATACAACTGATAAAAAAAGCTAAGTTTGCCTGTACCTGAAGAAATGTGAATGTTGTTACAATACATTTCAGTCCTTACAGTAATTTTAGAAACGAAATTAACTGTATTTTGTCCTGTTGAAATTCAAAGGAGAAACCAGACAAGTAAAACAAAAGTAATAGCCTTCAAATGTGGTTAGACATAAGCTTTATTTGGCCAGAATCAAGCGTTGCTGCCGTTTTCATAGAAATATCTGTCTTCCAGCTTGAACCGCATGACGAAACCAGCTTGGATTTATGCAGGCAACTTATAGCACCAACAGCTGTAGGGAAGCAAGTGATGTGGAAAGTAACTTAAAGAATACTTCTTAAAATCTCTGAGCTGCCTACTTTGTTCTGAGTGCTTTCTTCCAAATGATTTAACGGTGTTAACTGGGCTGTAATCACTGGTTGCAGGCATACCTGAGCCAGCTGTAAACTAGCTTGTTTGCATCTGCAGCTCTCTAGTCCCAGAGGCTTTCCTGGGAAGCTGGGGAAATACTGGGGCAGCAATCCTGCGCAGACAGCCTGTTTCCAGTAACTAAACTGGCCAGTTTGTGGCTAGCAATAGTAGGTCATTTTTGCTTTCCAGTCATCGTGCATGTTATTCCAAGGCTATAGAGCCTGGAACCTTACAGTGACCAATATTTAGAAGGCTAACACACTGGATGTTGTAGCTATTATCTGTTTTACAGCATCATTTTGGCAGTCTGTGCCCTGCTTTTTCTTCCTGTTTGTACAATGGACAAGTCCCCTTGGTGTTGTGTAATTGTGTCAGCCAGCCGTCAGTCTCCAGTCCAGAAAAAAGACTTAACTTCAGTCACTCACAGGTGATTGAAGCCAGAGCTTCAGACACATGGATTTAAGACATGCTTGGATTCCTCTGCATTTCTACGTACAAGGTTTTAATACAAGCTCTACCTTGTTTGAGTCTAACTATTGCATGCCACCAAGAGCCCATGGTATGTCTTTTGATGATTTTTTCCTGCATTTGACTGTGTTAGAGCTACATTTGCTGTTCAAAAATAAGCAGCCAATTTCTGGTCCCTGCCATGAGCAGGAGAGGAAAACACTGCTCA